CGGGGTCGGCGGCGTCCCGGGGCACCGTGACCCAGCGACGGCCCACGCGGCGTTGTGCAAATCTGGGGCCGGGAGGGGTGGCGGGAGAGGCCCGGCCCGGCCCGGCCGGGAGAGCTGGCGGGGTTGGGGGAGCTGCGTGTGGGGTGACCGGGAGGAGACGGCAGGCTGAGCGTTGCAAGGGTGAAGGAGGCCGGGAGGGGCAAGAGCTGTCCCCGAGCCGCTGGAAGCGCGGGAGGAAGCTCGTCGCCGTCGTCCAGGGCGATGGCTGTGCTGCTGCTAATTCATCCCCCGTCCCACCAGAGACCTGCTCTGCTCGGGACGCTTCACGTCACGCTGGACAAAACCCCGGCAGCTGTATGATAGAGCCGCCCCGCTTTGGCCCAAGGGACGATGCCTGATGACACAGTGAGAAAGTCATCCTTCTAGCTGCGAGGAGTCGGGCACCCGTGGTCTTTGTCTGCTCCTTCAGTAGAAACATGTTGTGCCTTCCTAGCTGGGCTGCTGACTGCATCCTCTGCATCACGCCAGCCGTCCTTGTTCCTAGAGAGTGACTCGTCTTACAGACTTGGGTGGTTAGGCCCAAATCCGCGAGGACTCTTAACGCCTCACCTCCGTTGGCTGAAGTTAAGCACTTAGATGTGTTTGCCTGGTTTTTAGTTCTCTGGCCAATGTCATCTAGTGATTACAGGAGGTAGTCAAGGAGCAAGATTCCTGTTTTGTTCCAGTTTTGCCTCTTAGATGTTTGGCGAGTCATGTAGGTGACCTGAGGGAAGGGGTAATAAGTTTGGTAGTGGCTGTTTACCTGTAAAGTGCCGTGAATCCAGGTTATCCACTCTGAACTGCGCGTACGACGTTTCTTCAGGGTTCTCTCCTGCCCTTGTCTTCTCTGCTGTGTGCTTACCAACAAGTGGGTATCCTGGTTTAGTTAATGTTAATAATATGGGTTGACCGCTCTGAGGTGGAGAGAGTGTGATATTACTCTTTTATGCCTTGGAGCATATGAATTTTGTTTGAGCAGTGGCTTTGGGTACTGTTTTACTGTTAGGGCTTCTGCTTTTCTAAGGCTGTTTCACCCCAGTTCCTGCCAGATAGGTCGATTCTAGGTTCTCGTGCTTTATGCCATCTTAACCTTATGATAGCATATAGAAGCTCTTCTTAATGCGTTAATTTACCTATTGAAGTGGGCTTCGCTATGTCAGTCCCCCTTCTTTCAATCCATTACTTCTGCAGCATGGGATGGGCTTTTCTTTATTCCTTATTGGTCATAAGTGATAGTGGTAATGATTGCTTCATCCCGTGTTTTCAGATGAGAGTTTTAAAAAACACATTTCCAGTTGTGCAATGGGAGGTGAGCACTACTTATTAATTTGAGCTAAGCTTCTTGTCCTACTTAGCAGCTGAAATCAATGGTACTTGTAATTTCCGTGGGAAAGGATAGGAGGAGACTGAGTAGCTTTTAAGTGGGTAGTAGCAATGAGGAAGGCGAGCATACTGGAAGCAAGCCTCTTAGCTGGAACGTCTGCGCTATTTCCACCTTAAAGCTTTTTTTCCTGTGGTTGTCTTTGAATATCTTTTGAATGTCATAACTGTTTCTGACTACATCTCCTTAGAATGTTCTGTGTAATTAGTGCATATTTTGAGATATCCTCTTATTTCTTAACAAGCTTTGGTTTTAAAACAAGAAAACTATTGCTCCTGATGTGTAGTAAGAGTAGGCCAGTTTTTCCAGTATAATGGTGATGAGGAACATTATTATCTGAAGGTTAGAACTTTAATTTCTCTTACTTACGGAGAAGTGTGAGTTGGATGGACTTTGCCCCTCCATGAGAACAAAGAGCATGGCCTTGAAGCTGTTGCAACACTAAGCTTTTTGTATTCCTGTAGCAGGTTGGAACCGTAGTCATGGGGCAGCGCCTTGCTGGTTTTGGTGCGGCACTGACCGGGTGGACCCAGGAGACAGTAAGATGTTATTAGCGAGGCAGGCAGTTGTTCGGTGTATTTCAAACTCATTAAAAGAATATTTTTCTCTCTTACAAGGGTCAGAATTAGCCTCTGTGATTCACCCTGTACGGGCAGTGTATTCCCATTGCATGGCCTGAATTGGTTCCAGTTAGAGACTGTTAACGTCGATGAAAAGCAGAAGTCGTCATCTCAGGAGCATGTTTAAGCTACTGTTTTCTATGGGGTTTGCTCGGTTCTGTTCATTCCCTCTCATCTCCGCTGTACCTCCTCGTAGAGAAGAAGCACTCTGGATATAACGGCTGGGGCAGGTTCAAGCATCTTCTTGCGGGGAAGCTGTCTCCCAGCACTTACAAGATAGGATGAAGGCTAAGTTCCTACCAAATCTGCACTCTCCACCAGCTGCTGGAGGAGTCAGAGGTGGCGATTCTTAAGGCTGTGTTTATACTCTTATTTTTCTAGCTCTTCGTTCTTTCCTAGTCAAATTTTAGCAGGCCTTTTTTGTGCAGGATGTGTTACCATCTTGTGACAATTCCTGTGACCTTTCTTTCCCCTGTGCCTTTTGGAAGCATAGGGAGGCTGGCGGCGGAGAGCTTGCCTGCCACCTTCTGAAGGCAGAATGCAGCCTGAGGGCTGTGAGACAAACATCTTGGCAGGTAGTATGTGCATGGATTTCGGTCTAGCCCTCTGGAACTGAGGATTTGAAAGATACTGTGTCTGTTCAGTCACCTGAATATTAAGTTACGGTCTTTTTTCCAATGCTGTGTTGCCCCTCTCTCCAAAGCCTTTCTGCTCGTATCACTCTTTCCGAGTCATCCGTTTTGCTGAAAGGGCTGCTTGGGCATACGTGACGTCCCCTCCCCAAGAGGTACGTTATTGTGGCACTGATCAGTGCTGTGGTAGTACTTGTCACCGAATCCCTGTTTGAGAGAGGGCATGAAGTACGGTGTATTATAATGCTGTCTTGTTCAACATCTGGATATAGTTGAGCTGGGCGCTTGGGAAACCGAAGTTAGCATAGCAGCGCAGCAGTAACACTAAGGAGGTCTCCTGCGATCTCCTCGGGTCACCCTCTCGGCAGCATATTTCACCCTCTCTGATAACCTTGAAGCGGTTTTCTCAGCAGCTGGTTGAGCATCGTCCCAGTCGGCAGAGGAGCAGCCTCATTCCGTAAGCTGCGATCTGCACCCCAGGCTTGCTGCCTCCTGCCAGCGTAAGGAGCGCAGGACTGATCTGTGAGCTGCATTGTAGCACGAGACGCTACACTGATAATGTTCACATTCCCAGTTATTTCAGTTTCCTTTCTTTTATTTAAATCTGGTTGGGGGTTTTTTTTTTGAAGTTTCAGCAGGAAATCACTGTAAAGACCCGAACAACCTGAATTTTGTCTTTCCTGCCATCTTCCATGACTTTTCATCTATATATTGTATAATGACTCTACTGTATTATTATAGCACCCGATTCTACTGCTGGATCTACACAGACAACCATCGATATTCATGTTGCACCTGAAAAAATCCACCAGGGCAAACAGTTGTGGCCTTAACGGCAGGGACAGAACTTTTAGTAACCTCAAAAGAAAACGCGCAGCATCCCTGAAATTCGTGTTACAACAATATTAAATCATTCTTTCCTGAAAGATGTCCCAAAGTCTTTTTGGAAAAGTGGAAATTTTAACTCTAAATTGCAAGATTACTTTTTTGAAACGGTATTTGGCTAGGAATTGGAAAATAGGTCTGGTGTACAGAGGCATAACC